TATTTTGAGGATGTGAGTGGGAAGAGGTTTTTTTTTCTCTAAAAAAAAATTCCTTCTAAATTATTAGATCTATTTAAAAGAAATATTCTTATTTTGTTTAACTAGGTGGTCTTCGCCCAAATACAGTTATTCTTGGTTTTTATGATAGTGCTTTACCAGAAGATAAATTACGTAATCGTTCATTTTTTAAAAAACGTTGGCTGAAAACAAGTACTCCTGTTAATTTATTGGCAGCACCTACATTTCATCAACAACCTATAATTCAATCTGGTGTAATGGAAGGTGCTAGTACAATAACATTACATTCATTTAATAGTTCAACAACAATAAATGGTAATGATATGTATCCAATATTTAATTTTGGAGGTAAGAAATATTTATTTATTTTTTGTTCTATGATTAGTTAATTTAGATTTACGTCAAGAAAATGAAGATAAAGAACTTGATGTTTATTCATATGTTCAAATTATAAAAGATGCACTTTATTTGAATAAAAGTATTTGTCTTGCTCGAAATTTTCATCAATTACACAAAGATGATATAGAATTAAATAAACGAAAAGTTTTCGTAGATATTTGGCCAGTAAGTTTAAATTTTATTTGGATTTCATACAAATAAAAAGTAAAAGAATACATGAAAAATAGAAGTCTCAACGATCAGTACTTATAGAGAAAATTTTTAAACTTCTATCAGTCGAACAAACAAAAGTTCTTCATATTTTGAAAGTTTCATTCTATTTCAATAAATAATATTTTCAATTGACTACATAAAAATGTTTTGTTTTTTTGCTTTAAAGGTTAATTTTATCTTTCCGGAAACATCAACTCAATTTGATGTAACATGTCTTTATATGCTTCAATTAGCTACAATTTTATCTATGGTTAAACCATGGAAAAATCGTGTTACATTACGTGTTTTTCTTTGTATTGATGCAATTAATGATAATGCATTACGTACTCAACAACATCTTGATGAATTACTTAGTCAACTTCGTATAAATGCTCAAACACGTATGATTGCTTGGGAAAATGTAACAAGTCTATTAAATAATACATCAACAACTAATGATAGTGCAGCAACAATATCTGTTGAACAACAATCAACAACAACAACAGCAACGGCACCAACAGCAACAACAACAACAATAACAAATTCATTTATTGATATAAATGATGTATATGTTCGTGGTGTTAATGAACTCATTCGACAACAATGTGACAATACATCATGTCTTTATTTATATTTACCACGACCACCACGAGATAAAAATCTTTCACCACGTTATATGCGTGTTCTTGATATATTATCAAATGATTTACCACCTGTTATGTTTGTTCATGGTGTTTCATCTGTGACATGTACTCAATTATAATTTTCTTTTTTTTTTTAAATAAAAATTTTTTTTTTTTTTTTTTGTGTGTGTTTTCTTGTTTTCATGTCAGAATATTTCATATCTGTCTTTTAATCTCTTTTATTTTGTTTTGTTTTGCGACTTATTTAATAAGTGTTTGTCCTTTTTTCTTCCATTGTCTGAATGGTTTTTAATTTGCACTTATCATAATAATAATAATCTTTGTATGCGTTTTTCTTTGTCTGTATGTGTTTAATTTAAGATGTCACATTCTCAATCTATTATATTTAATAATGAATGGTCAATTAGTACAACACATGGTCCAATATTATCATCAGAAGGTTCAATACGTCAAGAATATGAACAAAATTTAGAAACAAATCATTTACCTGATATGATATTTGATAAAACAACATTAAAAATAATTCATTTAGATAATAATTTAGAAATTTTATTTAATGCATTTGATGCATTAAAAAGTATTGATATGTATAATAATATAGAACATGTACCTAAAGTATCAATGAGTGAAATATGGACAAAATCACGTAGTAAAGATAGAGAATTGGATTATGTTAAACCATATGATTGGACATATACAACAAGATATAAAGGTAATATTATATTATGTTGTAAAATAGAAGCATCAAAAGAATAAAATGACAGCGAATTTGGATTTTTTTTTCTGATATAAATAACTAAAGTCCAATGCAGATCTCAGCTACTTCTATCATAATGTTATAAGTACATAGTATGAGATAAAACTCCTCATCTTGTGGATGTGTTCTAATGAAGACTAGCACCAAGGTCAACAAAATACCGACTACAAAAAGAGATCTGATTACTGGGCTTCTAGAAGTGTATGTGAACGCTTGTTGGCTACCTGACGTATGTTTAGATTCAGTAAGATTCATGTTAATGCTATTAATTCATAACAAATAATTAAACTATTTGCATTGTGGACACTTAGTACAGTACACTAATAACATCAGTTAATCATAGGTAGTTGTTCTTTTTATGATAGAACACCTTAAGCCAGATGTGAATAACTTCGTGGAATATAATTCATTAGATAATTTCATTTTTTTTTCTTTGGAATTGGTACTAACTAGTACTATTTCTTTTGATGAGATTTTATTGTTTTTATCAAATGATTGTCAAACAATACAATCCGATATTATTTTCTAAGAATAAAAATATAATAAGAAATAGAAAATTTTACAGAAAACAACAGTTATTAAGAACTTAGGGACTAAAAGCTCAATATAGTTTATCTTCTAAATACATACAAATGCATATGTTTTACAAGTTTTATTTGAATTATAGAGATTTGTTATTTATCTTAGAGTTCGAAGAAAATATTTTTTTATACATTAGAAATTGTAGAATACACAGTGAAATAATCTTTGTTACTTCTTATTTTGTATAAAATTTATCAATTGCAATTCGACTTGCTCCTATTTTGAAATAGGAACAACGAAAAAATCTCATGTGATTTAAATCATATAAAAATGTTCGACATAATAATCTGCGCTATACCGACGGTTGTGCAAACAAACGTGCAACATGGAATCGGAAACTTTCGATATAATCTATTCTCGCGAAGCCCTGTTTCAATGTAAGGTTTCATATCTTGTTAGAGTCTACATGACACACACAGTTTCAGATCAAACGTAATTAATTTGTTGAGAGATTTTCTTCGTAAGTCATATTGATTTTACGATTTATAACTTAGAAAGTTTACTCATGAGAGAATGTTTGATAGCTTTGATGATAGAATCGTTCGAAATGCTTTATCGCTTTTGACTACATATTTTAACCATAAGTAGCAAATATGTAAACTAGGAAACGTTCAAATTGATATGAATCCACGTTCATATGAAATTTTTACTACAAGCTCAACTAGTTGCAGTCTTGATATGTGCAAAGTTCAAAAATATGATTTTGCTGGAAAACAGAGTCTCATAGGAAGATTTCAGTACTATGTCTCCATAGTTTATAAATTTTCTACTCATGGGTAAAATGACGTTCTATTAGTTGTGATAAACGTATTTCGAATCTTTTTTTTATAGCTGAACAAATAAAATAATATGTTTATGTTTAGGTACTTTACGTTCATCAGGTAATAGTGCATGGCGTGTTGAATCAACTGATCAACAACTTGATTTAGAAAAACTTAAACGTCAAGAACCAATATTATTTTATGATGAATTAACACTTTATGAAGATGAATTAGCTGATAATGGTATATCAAACTTAATACTAAAGATTCGTTGTATGCCTAGTGGGTTTTTTGTACTTCTTCGGTTTTATATGCGTGTGGATGGCGTAATTATTCGATGTTTCGATACTCGTTATCATTATGAAGTTGGAAATACTTATATATTACGAGAATATATTGAACGTGAGTCACCTGTATCATTACTCAAACCAGAATTTCAATCAACGTCAGATATCAATTCCGTCATTGCACAATTAAAAACGAATGTACATCAATTAGAAAAACTTTTTTTTAAAACATCTATTTAAGATTCTGTTCTTCAAAAAAAAAAAAAAAACTTTCTTGAAAGAAACAAAATAAATATACACATACACACATAAAAGAATAATTGATAATCTAATGCCTGATATCCAAGGACTGAAAAATAAGAATTTCTGTTCGATTGCCAAAACTAAAACAACACGATAATGTTTTTTTGTTTTCACATTCATATCCATGAAAGTATTTATGAACATGTATCTGTGAGTATGCAAATTATTACAGAAAAAAAATATGACTTTGACTTTTGTGCATGGTTGAACTGTTAGTGAATTAATAGTTGATTGCCATTTTCGCGATGAATCATCGTAACTCCTATAAGAGTTAGACAATAATTCAATAATTCCCATGTCTTAGTTTTTGGACATTATTTATGTTTAGTACAATTTTTATTTTAGATAACATAGGAAATGAATCTTAAACGATCTTTATTAGTACATTAATCATTTTTTGCACAGTAATATATCCGTTTTACTACCTGTTTTTTTTTCATAGTAAAGAATAAAATGTTACACTTGCGAAGACTGAATTTCATAGGTTGTTTCACTTATCTGTTCCAATGAAAATGAACATATCTTCAACATTCTTCAGTTTGTTTGAAGTTATTCAAGAATTATATTAAGTTTTATAAAAATAGATCACATTTCATTTTTTGTGAATTTTATAATCATTCATACTGATAAACTATGAAAACAAAAACTGTTGAAACTAATATTCGATATACTTTAATGCCGATTTTGAAGTATGCAAACTATCAGTGTCCATAATGTAGAGGGTAACTTTTTAAAAAATGAATATTCCTAGTAAACATTGAGATGTATTGACAGCGCTTCTCCAGCACTCTAAGCTATAAATTTATTTAATCATGTAAAACAACACTACTGTCTTTAAAGGTGATTATTACTTTCTAATTGTCATCAATTGATCGTAACCAGTCACAAATATATCAATGTTTAAAAGAATTTTCTATCGATTAGAAAACACTTGAACCTAGGAAATGCTTGCCTTCTGAAGTTATTTGAAAAATATTCATCGTTTTTATTCTTCTTTTTTCTCAATAAGAAATATAATAAGTTTTAAATAGCATGATGAGTTATATCGTCAATACATCTAGTTTGTTTCGCTTGTTGATATCGATGTTAAATAGATAACGTGTTTTTGTTTCTTCTTGTCGAATTCAACACTTTCAATTTTAAAAGATCGTCCCGGTCGTATGAGTACTTCTTCTTCTTCCGGATAATCAGATAGAGAAGAAATATCCATGTTCAGCGTACTATATGCACTACGTTTTTCAGCAGTCAAAACAAATAAAACATTGCCAAACTGTTCGGCCTTTTCACGATTGAGACTACACGATGTAAATGCTTGAAATGACCGTCGTGCATCCTCGCTTCGAGCGACATTTTTATACTCGGTAATCATTTCATTGGTCAATTGAGCACCTCGATACACAGTTTTACCCGTTCGACGATTTAAATTTTCATAAGATAAATAGTAGTAGAGAAGGAAAGCAAAGGGACCTAAAGTTTCTATCTTACTTTGCCAAACTTTTTCATGATTCTTGTCACCGATGAGACGCATCGTATGATTTAGAATTTTGTAGAGAAATGATTCAAGGGAATAAAGATAAGTGCAACATTTGCCAATCTCTTTTGTTGTTTTGTCTTTGACTTTTTCTAACTGTTCAACAATCCATTTAGCTTCTCGTTGCTTTCCGGTTAGTTGTCCTTCATGCAAAATACCCAATATTGCTTTCTCTACCATCTCATGTTTTCGCTTTTCCCAGTCTTTTTCAAATTTAAGATCGAAGAATTCCATAAAAGCCTCGATAAAAACCTTTCGGAGTCCAACTAAATCATGAAACGAACTGGCAGGTACTATCGGATTGGGCATAAAACGTGCTTCTCTCAAGTGTCCTTCATCTCTGTTCATTTCTACTCGCTTTACTGGACGTTGTTTGCTTTTATCATCATTCGAAATCTGAACTCGATGTTCAAAATCAATATGATAATCGTCGAGAATAACATAGGCTTTCTTCAATTTTGTAAATGCTTCTTCGATAATTTTATTTTCAATATCTGAATATGAATTCCATTGAGACGATTCTATGTTTGAAAATGGATTATCATCGGATTTCCAAAACCATTCGATGCGCTTTTGTGTCATCTGTCAGATTGACCAAAACTGAAAACCAAATGTAATATCAGATAATGGAAGAAAGTGTATAGGAGTATGTGTGCACGAAGAGGTGATGCATATCCACACACACATCGAATCTAATGGTTCAGAGAATAGATCGTGCTTCTGTATTTCGTCCTATTCGACCTATTTCATGCAGCTCAATTATATAAAAATACAATCATGAATTATTGGAAAGAGGAAGTTCGAATCACTTTCTACAAGCATTCTTTCCATGCAAAAAAGATAATGCGAAGACTGAAAAAACTTAGGTACGATAGCTGCCATCATACCTTTCTGTTTTGTTAGTTATAACTTTTGTTAAGGACTTATTGTTTCTACAGCACAGATATAGTTGGCAGTAGAAGGTTATTATTGACATATGTAAATTCCCATTTTAAGCGTTATTAAAAGATTGCTCTAACAAGGCTTTCTCTTACACTTTGTATAAGTCTTTGTAGAAACGTTCCATCTGAAACCTTTAATATCTTCACGAATCCCGAAAGGAACTCTCATCTAGAGTTCGAGTTCTTCTCTCGCAGTAATTGTGTCAAATATGACAGAAAATTTTTTGCTCACTGAAAAATGCTATTTCAACATATTTCACATTTTCATGCTGAGAGAATTCAGTAGCTTTTTCGATATACATGCATATCGAATGAAGAATTTTAGCTAATAAATATACATAATACAACTCTGAAACGGTATTAGTCACAATGTTGAAGTCTTCAAGTACTATTATTGATATTAAACACCCAATATTCGTCTTTATTAAGTTCTCTAGTTGACAGAGATGTACTATGAAAACTTTTAATTTTTTAAGTGCAAAATCAATGTGTTATAGATGCACAAATGTACAGCAACAGTCGGACAGTGGCATAATTTTATTATGAATTCACATTCGGAGAAATATGATATAGTAAACATTTATCGCTGCATGATACATTCCAATAAAAAGAGCAGAAACGAGATCATTACTTACGTTTTTATTTCCTGAGATATCAATAATAAATTCTGCGTAATAATGCTGTCAAGAGAAAATAGAATAGTGGATGTGTCATACCAATCAGAATTGATGTTGATGCTGTTGTCAAGATGGTATACAAACAACTCGACATATGTTTGTTTAAGTAATTCATACAAATGAGAGAGACAAATAAAAGGAAAGAAAAGAAAAAAATTGAAACACTGTCGAAAATAAGAATCAGAGAACAGTTACTTTCATTTGTTTAAGTCATTCATACAAATGAGAGAGACAAATGAAAGGAAAGAAAAGAAAAATATTGAAACATTGTAGAAAATAAGAATCAGAGAACAGTTACTTCCACTAATCGTCACATTGATCACAATACTCGGTTACTCCATAAATAAACTGAATAAGCTATCTATCTCTCCATACAACAAATTCACCTAAAATTCGTGCCACACAACATTCTCAGGATGTAGGTGTGTATACAGATCGAGGTCCGGATGTGTATAAATGTGACTGTGAGTGTTATCCCTTCACTCATCTCACTATCCACCCTCCAGCTCATCGAAAGAAATGAATTCATACTTAATAACTGTTCCTTGTGATTGTGAGGGTGGGCGTCCATTAAGAGAAAAATCACAGCTACATTCTCTCAAATTATTTTAACAAACTACATAAGATCTTTGTCGTTTTCTTTTCAATATGGATGCATTCACTAAAGCAACAATTTTCAACATATGAGTCACTCGTAATGAAAGCAATTTATTATAGTATTTGACACCTCTCTTCTATTCACTTGCACATTATTTCAGTTAACGCGAATAGCATTGAAATTCTACTGGGAGAGTGAAAAATGTAAAAATTTTCAAAATATATTGGTACTTATTTAGATACTCCAAAGCCTAGATTTCTGAAAAATTCTAGCAAAAATTGATTATATATCCGTTTTACCTGCATGATACTTAGAATCTCCAAGCAAATAAAAATTGACTTTACGAACCCCATCAAGAGTTGATCTTATCCAATCATCTTTTATAGCAATTCGTTTAATTGTAATGCTAAGTCTAGTTCATCTCTATTATCCATACCTGGTAGATAAATATCATTGATATTCGGTGCCAAGAGAAGGCAGATACGGGTGACCGCTCACTTGGTCGCACGACACTTCGTCGCGATCATTTCGTCGCACGATCACTTCGTCGCATAACACTTCGTCGTACGACATTTTGTCGCAGAACATTTTTTTTCGTTCTGTTCATTGCATTCCTCTTAATTATTTTTTTTAAAAACATGAAATTGATCAATTTAACTCATCGTCATTTTATGTATCATACATAACAGAACCATCAACAAAGTGAAACGAAAAAGCAAGAAAAAAGAAAAAAAGAAAAAAGAAAAAAGAAGACAACTAATCTAAAGGGAAAAATAATCTAAAGAACTAATTTGGAGAGCGTTGGACAAGTACCAAGGTCAAAGTCAACTCGTCGTATTCCAATAATTCCAATAGAATTCAATACTTAGGACTCCGATAAGATCTGATGCTATCCGATAGTCAGATCCATCGCGTTCTGGCAATGTTATCGTTGATCTAGTCAATATTAAAATTCATTAACATAATGACAAATATAATTATTTTTTGCTGACTTTAACTGTCTCAGAATTACATTTGGTTAAGACCTTTCATCGATCTATTTTCCGAATTCAAGTCATACGTTTTAGAGCAATCAATTGTCTGTCCTTGTTGTACCCATATTTTAGAGTTTTTCATTTACCTTATTTTATTTTGACTAGTTATCAAAAAAAACAGGACTAATTAACAGAAATACAAGAAGCAGAACGAAAGAACAAATTATTCTGCAACGAACAGAACGAAAGAAATTGTTCTGCGACAAACAGAATGAAAAAAAAAATGTTCTGCGACAAAATGTCGTACGACGAAGTGTTATGCGACGAAGTGTTATGCGACGAAGTGATCGTGCGACGAAATGTACTAGCGCCTCGAGTTATATAAGTGTATATATATAATTAAAAAAAACGCTCTGTACTGCACTGCGTCTTGACACGCTCTTTCAAATAAAAAAAGTATAAATGCCTTGAATGAGTATCAACAGAGAAATTTGGTTTTCGCGTTCGAGATATCGTAAACCGAGAAAAAACGAAAAAGATTGATTGGTTTTTCAAAAAACCACTAGTTTTTCGAATAGGGGTTGTCAGAAATCATGAAAATGTTTTGGAAAAAATGAGATATGAAAGAGAAGTTCTTATCATTTATGAAAAAGCAAATGATGGGTTATCTCCCCATGTATTTATCTCAATTTTGACCATTCTAACGAAAACAGATTTTTTTTAAGGGGGAGAGGGAGGCGCTTAAAAAGAGAGAAGAAGAAATTGCGACGTGCAACAAAGAGCTCTTTTTTTTGCAACCATTAACTTGAAGTTTAAGTTTTTTTGTTGCAAAAGTAGAACAGAAAAGAAGCAGTATATAATTCTGAAGTAAAACTTTAAAGTATTAAAGAATACTGACAAGGGTGTTTTTGATGCTATTTATTTCAAATGGGATGTAGTGAATCGAATATTCAGTTGTCTTCTATAATACTATAACTGGCAATTGATCAAAATTCACTAAGATTATCTGAAGCAATAGAATCACTACAAATTGACTTATTAGCCAAAGATAATTCTCTAGAAAAAAGCACCAGTTCATTTTCAAAACCTAGAAACCTATAGACTTATGTGGGTTGATGAAAATTTCAAAAATAAACTCGATCTACAATTACTAAAGACCGCGTTAAAAGGTTTCTTTATACATATTCTATAACTTGAACTTACATGAAGTAAAACAAAAGTAGTACAAACTTTCTGACAATATCCGATTCAATTTGTATCTTAACAGTGTGCTTTTATAGAGCAAATTCGACTAGAGGTAACAAGCGAGGAGCAAACTGGAGGTCAAAAAAGTTTTACGGAATCTTCAAAGTGTTTTATAACACTTATTTGCAAGAATCTGAAATATAACAAGCTTCAAAATGATGGTTGAAAGAAAATTAAGGAGGTCTTTGAAAATCAACACTAAATTCATTAAAGTTAAGAATTGTGATCGAATGCTAACTTTTTCTATCTCAGTCAATCGAGCTCCGGTTGGTGTCAGTGATTTCAGTTTTTTAGCTGTATCTTTGATAAAAATTTCGTGGAAGTTAGTTCGAGTCAGTCTGAGTTTCACACATCGCGAGTCTTATGACGAGTAGTGTCTTCATTTATGGCGAGTACAATAATGGCGATATTGAAGAAAAAAACCTGACAATGTGAAACAAAGACCCCCAAACACAAAAAGTATTGCTGCTCTGTTCTCGCCAAAATCTCCAACATTAAAACGAGGCAGAAAAACGATGGTGCCTATAAAGTAAAAGACGCCACCAATTCCAGCGAAACCATCGATGCCCAAAGCTGGTTTATCGTTCAGAAGGTTAGCTAGACGGAATTGGTGATTGTATAGATTGTCACTATTCGTACAGCCTGATCGATAAATTTTCCAAGCTTGTGATGTATAGATGACAGCTGAACCGACGATGAACAACCATTCACCGAGTGTCAAATATCTATTTAATGCTGGTATAAACAGAATCGATCCAGCTAGATAGAGAGCCGATCCACATGCAGAGGTAAAGAAATTAATTCCGATTTCGGCACGTTCGAATCGACCCAATAACGTCTGTCGTGAATGCCGAAACACATTGACATTCGAAGCTTCGAATGCTTCACGATAATACTTATCAAAACAGCAACCAATGCGATAGTACCACCATTCTTGTAGATCAGCAAGAAGAAAAAAAAAGGAACCAATGGTAAACAGCCATCCACCGGCTACTAAGGCCTTCGGATGTTGGTTGACAACGTTGGCAAGATACATGCAAGACCCAGTAATGAAAAAGAGACCTCCCAGCATATAGTGAGTTCCATGAAACATCCGCCATACGATTGATTGTGGTCGATCAAGAATCTTGTCACCGTCATCTACGGC